GCATCCAGAAACGCCCGGGTGATACGTTGTCTATAGCAAGAGCCACATCGTCTTTACAAAGACGTAACGTCAAGTTTGCCACGCAACGTCGTCTTTAAAAAGACGCACCCGTAAATGCTCTTTTAGGGAAAAGCTCTTTTAGCGTGCTGAAGAACACAGGGGAGATGGCCGCCTGCAACACAAACAAGGGGTAGTGCAGCCTGATGTGTGCAACCCACTCGACACGGGAAACCACCACCGCTGAAGCGCCGTACCGCCAACACGAAAAACTCTCAAAGAGCGCGCTGAACTCATCCAGTCTTCTTCTCTCAGTAGAGTAGTCAGGAGCAGAATGATGTGATTGCTCGGCTCCGAAGCGAAAAGCTGAATATGCGCTGCACCAGCTGCCTACTTGTGATCAGCGACAGCTGGATGCAGTAATCGCATGCCAATGTGCATTGGCTCGTTTAATTTGCACTCGAAGTAGATTGGTCTCTCTAAGCGAGATCCCAATTCGTCGGTCATCCACGTGACGTCTAGAGTGACCGACTGAAAGGGAATGATAGAATACAGAAGTGTCAACAGCTTCATGCACGTCTTTTAAAATAAAAGTCTTGCATCAGAAAAACATTTAGAATTACGTTATTTGTTGTTGATGTTGTTTCTTTGGCCGTACACTCCGCAACCCACTCAGAACGGTCTCGCGACCCACCAGTTGAGAAACACTGGTCTATAACAAAACCTTGCCAAAAACAGCTTTTTTCAGAGCAAGCCATTTTCTTGCATGCTGCTTTAAATGCAAATGAGCTCTGCTCACCCCGCCCTTCTCTTCCGAGCCGCTATCTGAGAGACGATAAACTTTAGCCGCATTTATCGTGAAACATGCTAACTAGCACGTTATTAGGAAAGGCAATTTGCAAAAATTCATAAAAAAAACTTATGCTCACTTCTTCTGTAGGTGAGGCTCAATCACGAATGATTCGCGCTAACAAACGCATTTAGGTAGATCGGGGGCGCATTCCCTTCAAAAACAAATGTAATCCACTGAGTCTTCAGCGGCTCAGATGTCGGGAGTAAATGACGACTGCTATGACGTCACACAGACAAGAAGCTGAGAACGGCTTGATTTGAGAAAGGGGTAATGATTTTAGTAGATTAAAAAAAACACTGGGTGGATTTTTATCATTATAGGGTGGTTGTGTACACACACACTGCCAACACACATTTCAGTTCAAACTACTTGTAAAAGTTGACCCCTTTAAAAACACATCCACCAAACAGGGGCGACCTGCCTTATGTAGAATAACATATTTCTCACAAGTATGGGTAATTTTTTGTGGGAATAACTTTTTATAGTGTCTTTCTCTGCATGTTCCTGCTCAAGTAGGTCTCAGGTCAGTAAACAAATAGCAGTACTTGTGTGAATCTCTGATAATCTAGTAGCTTTAGGCAAAACCATTAAAAAATGGCAGATTATTGTTTGGCCTGTAGCCTGATTTCATTCTGCCCATGCTGTCTTGACAAACGAGGCTTTGTCTGTAACTGGAAATTCAAACCAAACTGATAACATGCAGAGACAGCATAAGAATGTACTTATTGGCACTACATTTCTCAAAGAAGACATATTCATATAGCACAGCTCTAGAACAGTCTCTCAGTCATCCAGGCCACCTGATAAACCCACAATAATTTTAAAACCACATGAATGACTTTTCTTTCAAACTTTTTGATGTTGTTGTTTGTTCTATTTAGCCACAACAAGATGAATGGCAATTTCTGTTGTGGTTCAGAAGTCTATGACCACCACAACCAGTTCTTGACATGCTGCTCAGGTCATCTCTACAACCTAACCCATTTACGTGGAAATGCAGAGTGCTGTGGAAGCCTATTGCTGCAATATAGTAATCACATTTGCTGTTCCTCCTCAACCAATTCCATAATGTATGACACCAAACCAAACCACCGTTGCTGTGGGCATTACTACTACAACACATCCCTGTGGAGCTGCTGTGCTGAACGTCTCAAACCAACACCAAAGCCTAACAGCTCTCCTGCAGAATACAGACTTAAACCCCTAACAGACCTTATCCCTGAAATGTGCAATAAAACAGGTGATGTTCTTGAACAAAAAAAAAAAAACATGAAATACTAAACATTTTTTGAAAGTAGACTAAATGATCTCATTTTTATGTGTGTGTGTTTCTAGTGTTCTTTGGCAAAGTGGAGAGTGTGGCACTTGAAAATTATCTGCGTCATGTGGTGTTGAAAGTTGTGTGGCAAGTCAATATGAAATCTGAAAATTTCATCAAAGACCCTTGGCTTCATGTGTCCCTGGATCACTGCAGCACTCCTGCCACAGATAACGGCATGACCTACCTTTGGGAGGAAAACCACAATGGGAAGCACAAGCTTCTCTCTCACCCTGTTGACCTAACATCTGACATTTACATGTTATATTCTGTATGTTACCAAAAGAAGGGATAGAAATATGGATTGAGGTCTATTTCCCATCATTTCAAAGCATGCAGGTTGTCATAAGATTCCTGATCATTTTTATCCATCATTAATGATAAATGACAATAGAGGAAAGTCTCTGTTACTATACACAGCATTACGGCATCACATGTGTATCTGTGCTTTTTACCTCAGTGGATATTTTTATTTCATCTCAATAATGGATTGATCCTGTTTGGAGTGATGCATTACTCTTATTTATTCAGTGAGGTAATTTTAAGCTTTGTTAATGTGAAAAATGGAAATAGAATCAAAAAAGAAAACATTCTTCTTTTTTAATATTGAGTTCTCTTAAAGAGTTATTTTTTATCTAAATTGCTGGGCAGTGTTAATTTTATATATTTTAAGTTGCACTGCATGACTTAAGAAGCATGTTTTTGTAATCGTACTGTATTTTATCAGTCTCAGGTCTATTCCAATTCTGTTACATTTTTAACAATTTGATGGGTTCAGGGGCCTTCATGTACTAAACTCAGAGGTGCTCAAAAGCAATTAATGGCTTTTATCCTAATCCTTGAGAAGACAGAGGTTATTTCATTTTATAAAAAGAAGGGATAGAAATATGGATTGAGGTCTATTTCCCATCATTTCAAAGCATGCAGGTTGTCATAAGATTCCTGATCATTTTTATCCATCATTAATGATAAATGACAATAGAGGAAAGTCTCTGTTACTATACACAGCATTACGGCATCACATGTGTATCTGTGCTTTTTACCTCAGTGGATATTTTTATTTCATCTCAATAATGGATTGATCCTGTTTGGAGTGATGCATTACTCTTATTTATTCAGTGAGGTAATTTTAAGCTTTGTTAATGTGAAAAATGGAAATAGAATCAAAAAAGAAAACATTCTTCTTTTTTAATATTGAGTTCTCTTAAAGAGTTATTTTTTATCTAAATTGCTGGGCAGTGTTAATTTTATATATTTTAAGTTGCACTGCATGACTTAAGAAGCATGTTTTTGTAATCGTACTGTATTTTATCAGTCTCAGGTCTATTCCAATTCTGTTACATTTTTAACAATTTGATGGGTTCAGGGGCCTTCATGTACTAAACTCAGAGGTGCTCAAAAGCAATTAATGGCTTTTATCCTAATCCTTGAGAAGACAGAGGTTATTTCATTTTATATATATATATATATATATAAACACAATCAAAAATCACTGTGTAAATTTAATCTGTCTATCTATCTGTCTGTCTAATACATGTAGTGACTTGGGAGTTTTAAACTTCTCCAAACTCCTAAATACTGTTCAATTTCTATGTCTCAGCTATATACAACTGTGAATACACCTTTCATGTTAAATGTTATGTGAAGAAAATGTACTCATTCAAGCTGTATTATGGTATTGCAGATATGGAATTTGATATATAGTCTTTTTATCTTTATGTATTTTTTTTAAATAAAAAATTAAGAATCACAAGACTACAGTATGCATATTTTATCAGGACCTTTAAATTAGTAACTGAAACAACCTGAAAATTAGTGTTGTACTCAAGACTACATAATCCGAGACCCAGTGTTGAGTGTGTTGAGACCCAGACAAGACCAAGACCAGACCAGCACTGCTCAAATTCATCTAAAAGATCCACATTTACTGCCTGAAAAAATCTAATATTTAATAAATAAATAAAAAATACAATTAGAATAATAAGACCGTATATGGAGCTGTTTTTAATCAAATGAAATCACTAACAACAGAATTCATCTTTGCACTGGCAAAGAAGCTGCTTCTGAATTGGTACGGATCTCATGCAAGTACTTTTTTGCAACAATATCTTGAATTTTGTGGGTATCTGTATTAATTTTGGTGACGTTTTTGACACAATTACCCATTCATTTTTGACCCGGCATAACAGTACTAGGGTGCCTCAACAAACTTTCAAGAAGGCTTCAGGATAACTTAAAATTATTTAAAATAATACAAAACAAACATTCAAATAAATGAAAACAACTCAAAAAATCAAGATATTTCTTTATTTGGTATTAATTTTATGATGAATATACATCTTTCTAGTCATGCTAAACTCTAAAACATTTTGGGTTAGTGGAGGGGGCCTTCAAATAATTTTGTGGACAATAAGGGGGGCTTGAAGTAAAATTACTGTACAACACTATAAATGATTACATTTATGATTATAGGCTACATAAAATATTGCTTTATGTGTAAATGGATTACTGCTGCCCTAGAGAATTGCATGAATTGCATTTTTTTTAATAAACTTGCATATTATGCTTCAAAAAATATTTTTTTCTGCTTTGCTTGGACCTCATTTTCTTTGCTGCCTTCAGTGACTTATATTTACCTCTTAACCTTGTTAAATTGGCTATACCTGTATAAACAAAATATCTGTGAAAGATTCATTGTTGAAAACATTTCTTGGCATGTCAGTGAGGTCACTGAGACTGACGTCTGAGGCTGAGACTAGTCAGCTTCCGGATCTGGGTTCCTGTGAATCAAACACTAACACAGTTAAATAGAAGAACAGCACTTTGTCAGGAGAGATATAAACATTTTACACTATTCACCTTCTGGAAACCCTATATTTCTTTAGATACCACGATAGAGATCATAGTTCCTAACTTAAAATGTCTCACTTGCAGATCCTAATGGCATGACCCAAATACAGATCAAATTAAAGCTTATTAAAAATCTTGGGTTTTATGAGCAGAAATTTGTGTTGGAACTATTACTGCAATGTTTGCAATTCCAGGTCTAGTAGGGTGGGGGGAATCTGAGGCAAAGTATTGTAAGTTTGAAAACATCATGGAAATGATGTGGTTGATACATGTTTATCTAAATGGCAAGAAAGTACTCTTATTTTTGTTGTTGAAATGGCAGCAATCTCAGAGAAAGGCATAATGTCTCATTTAACTCATACAGTTGAGGTCAAAAGTTTACAACCCCCTTTCAGAATCTGCAAAATGTTAATTATTTTACCAAAATAAGAGGGATCATACAAAATGCATGACTCGTGAACAACTATCACTAAAAAAAACAACAACAACAGCTGTGTATCATTCAGGCAAGAGCACAGTATTAAGAATCAAGGGGATGTAAACTTTTTAACAGGGTCATTTTTATAAATTCAACTATTATTTTCTCTTGTGGACTATATGTAAACATCTTTTAGGTGAAATATCTTATTCAGGTCAGTACTAAATAAACAATAACCTCTTATTTTGGTATAATAATTAACATTTTGCAGATTCTGAAAGGGGGATGTAAATTTTTCACCTCAATTGTATCTAGGCTAGATTGTATCCTGTTATTCTGTCTCATGATGGTTTTAGTGCTAGTCATATCATATTAAATAATTATAAATGATTATTATAATTCAACTATATAATTAAAAGATTTTTTTATAAACAAAACAAATAAACATTTAAAATGTCTGGAATAAAACCTGACATGCACTTTGTGGTTTTGTGTACTCATTCTGTTTGAATAACTCCAAATTAAGAATTTATAAACATTTAAACAATGTGAATAAGCAGTTTAAAAAGTAGCATTCCCTGCTAATAAGGCTGGAATACACAACACAACTTTTAACATCTGAACTGCAAATTGTCAATTCCGACTGTCTAAAATCTGCAAACTAGCTTTACCTGTTATCAACAGGCATCACAGATTTGTGGAGCAGACCAACATAAGGACAGAAAGTAAAAATTTTAACAATAGCTATTGAAGGAATGTGCCACATTATACATAGTATAACACCCTAATGATATGTAGCTATGTATAGGCCCGGACCAGTCAGAGTGCCCATGTTCCACCGTAGTGAAAAATAAATATACTTAAATGTGTTTGAAATACATTTATTTCATGATAAGTATACTGCAAATACATTTTCATATTTATGTACTTAATAAAATGCCCTGCAGTTGTACTTTTAGTATACTAAACTGGTATACTTCAAGTCTGCTAAATTGGAACAACTAATTTTGTACTTAATGCACTTTAATTGTGCGGAAGTAGTGCTGAAGTCCAATTAAAGACATACATAGTATATTTCATTGTGCTAAAGTGGAACTATTGCAAGTATACTTTAAGTACACTTTAAATATTTTGCATTTAAAGCGCGATATTATTCAAAGATCATAGAATCCTCATCAAAAGTGACATTAAAACACATTTTAGGCTTATTAATAAGAAATGTGCATTGTGCACAAGTAATCCTCCAAATAAAGTTTCATTAAAAATTTTATATCACTAGGTCTCGAGTTATCTGTCAGTAAATATTTTAATAGATTTGAACTATAATTAGTATGAAATAAATGTATTTTAAATATATTACTTTTTTACTAGGGCAATGACCCTTGTTGAGTTCCAAAAGCTCAGAATGGGCACATATCGGAAACTGACCTCAGAGCAGTAGAAGAAGGTTGTCTGGTCTGATGAATCCTGTTGTTTTTTACATCACATGGACAAGGCAAGGGAGGCAGTGCCTCCTCAAAATATTGGATGAGGGGGGGAAAAAAATCATAGTACAAAAATAAAATGCCAATATTACAAAATGTAACATTACAGTTTTTCTCGATTGCTACAACACTATAACCAGGCTTTTGAACTAAAATTGCAAAACCATAACGCCATTTATCAAAAAGCACACCCGATTCCCTAAACTCTAAACACTACTCCCCTGTTTTGACACATGAGTCAGATTTTTTGAGCTGTCACTGCAGAACTCTACACACAAATCCCTTAATTTCTTATTGCGTACACCATGTGGTCATTTTGAAAGCACTAACATTCAATACTGCTCACTCAAGTCAGCACAGCTTGAGCTCAATTAGCCTACCCGGTCTCATGGCAAATACGTACCTGGGGGCACATTTTTGCAAGACGCGAAATACGTACCAATAAGTACATATCACTGCAGTTTCCAAAAAAAATGAACACTAGAGGCAGTAAAACTCCGACACCTTTTAAATTATTTTCACACAGAGTATGATTTACAGAGTTTCGATTAATAAAGCGTAATTTTCGCACAATTACTTGAAGAGTATTATGTTGTGACTTCAAAACATTTTTAATATGCTGGGAGATTTGAAAACTGATGCTTTTGATTGTTAGCACCGCACATATCCAGCTTCATATCAATGGGTTTTCATAACCGATTGGTTTGTTCGGTAGCTCACGGAGTATGGAGACGTACTTGAGAGGCAAGGAGCTCCGTTTCGAATCCCGTGTAACTACGGTTCAACAAAACAGTTCAAATCTGCATATAAGGAAGTTAAA